CCGTTCCTTTCCCCCTTTCCTTTCCCCTTTCCTTTCCTTTCCTTTCCCCTTTCCTTTCCTTTCCTTTCCTTTCCTTACCTTTCCTTTCCTTTCTCCTTTCCTTTCCTTACCTTTCCTTTCCTTTCTCCTTTCCTTTCCTTACCTTTCCTTTCCTTTCTCCTTTCCTTTCCTTACCTTTCCTTTCCTTTCTCCTTTCCTTTCCTTACCTTTCCTTTCCTTTCTCCTTTCCTTTCCTTACCTTTCCTTTCCTTTCTCCTTTCCTTTCCTTACCTTTCCTTTCCTTTCTCCTTTCCTTTCCTTACCTTTCCTTTCCTTTCTCCTTTCCTTTCCTTACCTTTCCTTTCCTTTCTCCTTTCCTTTCCTTACCTTTCCTTTCCTTTCTCCTTTCCTTTCCTTACCTTTCCTTTCCTTTCTCCTTTCCTTTCCTTACCTTTCCTTTCCTTTCTCCTTTCCTTTCCTTACCTTTCCTTTCCTTTCTCCTTTCCTTTCCTTACCTTTCCTTTCCTTTCTCCTTTCCTTTCCTTACCTTTCCTTTCCTTTCTCCTTTCCTTTCCTTACCTTTCCTTTCCTTTCTCCTTTCCTTTCCTTACCTTTCCTTTCCTTTCTCCTTTCCTTTCCTTACCTTTCCTTTCCTTTCTCCTTTCCTTTCCTTACCTTTCCTTTCCTTTCTCCTTTCCTTTCCTTACCTTTCCTTTCCTTTCTCCTTTCCTTTCCTTACCTTTCCTTTCCTTTCCTCTCCTTTCCTCTCCCCTCTCCTCTCCTTTCCTTTCCTTTCCTTTCCCATCCCATAGCATGTGTGTGAAAGTCAGAGGACAGCTTGTGGGAGCTGGTCCTCTTCCTCCACCATGTGAGCTCCAGGAACCAAACTCAGCTTTCCAGACTTGTTTGTAAGCACCAGTAATCACTGAGCCATCTTGCCAACCACATTAATTTGTTTTCATTTCCTAGAGCATCATCACTTAAAAATAATAGTTGGTAATATGTCATACCAAGGATGAAAATATCTAATCCCTGTCGCAGTGTTTCCATATCAGTGATAAAGGAGTTGTTATTTGACAAATTATTTGGTATACCAGTATTGTAATGCTTAAAATGAACCTAACAATCATTTAATTTCATAAATTAAAATGCAGAAGTAGAAGAAAAAGACCTTAGTTCATATAATCAAGTAAGAGCAAAGTGGAACCAAATTTTCTTCAGTTGAATTTTTTTTTATTATTTTTGTGTATATGAGTGTATTGCCTGCATGTATGTGAGTGCACCTGTGTAGTGCCATGACGCAGAGGTCAGAGGAGGGCTTCAGATTCCCCTGGAACTGGAGTTAAGGATGGTTCATAGCCACCATGTGGGTGCTGGGAATTGAACCCGGGTCCTCTGCAACAGCAGTCCGTGCTCTTAACTACTGAGCCATCTCTCCAGCCCCGAATTTTTTTTTTTTTAAGATAAGAATTTAGTATGGGGGAACTGGAGAGATGGCTCAGCTCTTACAAGCACTGGCTATTCTTGCAGAGGGCCTGGGTTCAGTTCCCAATACTCACATGGTAGCTAACAACTGCACTGCTTCTATCTCCAGTTCCAGGGGATCTGACGCCCTCTTCTGACCTCTGTGGACATTGCACACATGTGGTACACTTACGTACGTGCACATAAAGCACTCATACACTTGATATAAAAATAAATTTTTAAATATTTTTTAAAATTATTATTTTTATTTTATGTGTATGTGTGTATGCATGTAATTGCTGAGCCATTTCTCCAGCCCCCAAAATAAAAATTTTTTAAATTAGTATTGAGGGATGACTGGAAGAGATGACTTAGCAATTAAGAGTACATATTACTCTTTTTTGAATTTTTTAATTGAATTTTGGTGTATTTAATACAGAACCCCCTTCTCCTTTGGCACCCTCCCATAGCCTTCCCCCACTGGAATTCATACATTCTGTCATTTGTGTTAAGGCCTATCATGTCAAGTTAGTGTCCCCAGACATCCCTCAGTGCAAGTTCATCACTGAGGTCTAGTCAGCCTGTCTAGAGTCCCTCCCTTTAAGAAGGTCAGTGCTTTCTCACTTAGCAGTAATCAAATGCCAATAATTTTTCAACTAAGAATGGGGCCTGCTGTCCATTTCTACAGTTCTGTGCTGGGTTTTTGTCTGCTTGAGTTTGCATGGGTCTTGTGCATGCTGACACCATTGATGTGGGTTCATATGAGAATGGTCCCAGGAACCTGTAGGGCTCTTATTTCCATATGATCATGCACCTCCTCCCTGGCTCTTACAATTTTTTCACCCCCCTCTTCCACAATGGTCCCTGAGCCCTGGGTGGGTGGATTTTAATACAGGAGTCCTGTCTAAGGACCCACACTCAATAGATTCTTATTTTCTACATTTTGGCCATTTGTGATCTTTTGTGTTCCTGGCCCTCTGTTACATGAGGGAGCTTCATTGATGAGAATTAAAAGATGCATTAATGTTCTCTTTATCCCTTGTTGTATGTCTGTGAACCTTAGGTATAGAGGTTGCATTGTATACGTGCCACTTAGGCTTGGGCAATTCACAGAAAATCTCTGTGTATGACCAATTGTGCAACTCTGTAATAATCTCTGTCTGTTGAGAAAGAAGCTTCTTTGATGGGTGGTGACTGGAATATTTGTCTGTAAATCTAAGGATCCATATTTTGCACATAGTAAGAAATTACATTTGTCTAGGGATGTGACAGCCTTGGGATTTTCTCTAAGATCTGTGACCTCTCCAGTTATGTGTATTTGGCTAGGTTTACAGTACCAAATATGATTTTCCTCCCATTGAGTGGGCTTTAAGTTCAGTTAGATAGCTGTTGATTATCCCCAAGATAAAAGCACATATTGCTCTTCAGGAGGACTCAGGTTCACTTCCCAGCACCCACACAGTGGCTAACAACCATCCATAACTCCAGTTCCAAGGTATCCAGCACCCTATTCTGGCTCCCTGAGTATTGACTGCCCATGGTGCTCTTCTATACATGTAGGTAAAACACTCATATACATAAATTTTTTTTAAAATTAGTATAGGGGCTGGAGAGATAGCTCAATAGTTAAGAGTACTTCCTGGTCTTCCAGAGGACCCAAGTTCCATTCCCAGCATTCACATCAAGCAGCTCACAACTGCCTGTAACTCCAGCTCCAGGAGCTCTGACTCACTCTTCTGGTTTCTATGGATACCAGCAAACATATGGCATACACTCACACAGATATACATGTAGACACACACACATATCTATATATCTATAAATATATCCTTGGTGCTAGGCATTGTGGTACAAGCTTTTAATCTTAGCACTCAGGAGACAAAGACAGGTGGATCTCTGTGAAACAAGACCAGCTTGGTCTCCATAGCATGTTCCAGGCCTCCTGGAGCTACAGGGAGAAGCTACCTCAAAAAAAAATATATATATATATATATATCTTTAAAAATATTAAAATTCTTATATTGATTATTGGCTAGAACCTGTATCATTGTTTGATAAAAGATGTTGTCATTTCTTTCAAAATATTGATCAATACTGAAAATTATATTGTAATCATAGAACATATAAGTAGAAAGTAATAATCAAATGAGAATAACAAGGCTAAATCTGGAAGTTATTTGGGGAGCATCATTGCTTAGGGAAGATTTGTGATCTAAATTATTTATCTTAATTTTTATGTATGTATATTTTTTCTGCATATATGTAAGTGCACCAACATATAGACAGTGCCCAAGGAGGTCAGAAGAAACCTTCGGATCTCCTAGAACTGGAGTTACAGAGCCACCAGGTGGATCTTGGGAACTGATCCTGGGTTCTCTGTAAGAGCAGCCAGTGCTTTTAATTGCTGAGCTGTCTTTCTAGCCCTAAGATTTATTATCTAAATATAGAATTTTCTAATAACATTTTAGTTAAATATATTAGGTACACATATGTGTCATTTTCACAAAATGTTTTGGAAAAGCTCAATATACTTTTAGTTCTATTACAATTTCACAGCTAAATATACCACGGTCACCATCACTTTGAAGTGAAAATAATTCATTCATCTTCCTTTGTTTTTTTTTTTTTTTGATTTGTATCTCACAGGAAGTATGGGAATCTTTAAGTCAAGTACTTTAAGAAAGTTTAAATTCTTTACATTGGTTTCTTTTCTTTTTCTTTTTTTACCTTTCTTCCATCACCTTCCCCCTCCTTTCCCCTTCCTCCTCCTTCCCCAAACAAAGTTTTAGTTACCTAATGCAACCACAGGTGGCATTCTGGTCCTTTTTCTTTGTGCTTCTCTAAAACATACAGTATAATTATATGAGTGTGTGTATATAAAATTTTAAATAACAGATGATTTTTTTTTGCTGTTTACAGCAGGAAAAAATAACATCAGATGAAAGGGAGAGCAGTGAACTAGCAACAGAACACAAGAAAGAATTATCCAAAAGGTAATGAATCTATATAGTAACTACATTGCTACTCCAGTTGAACGTAGAAATCCCTGAGAACAAGCTGTGTGTTTGTCTTATTTAACTTTCACAGTTTCCCTGAAATTGATATTATTACCATTTTCATTGATAGAAAAAGAGACCTAAGATTAAAAAGATTATTTCAGCTGGGTGTGGTGGCACATGCCTTTAATCCCAGCACTTGGGAGGCAGAGGCAGGCGGATCTCTGTGAGTTCAAGGCCAGCCTGGTCTATAGTGAGTTCCAGGACAGCTGGGGCTACAGGGAGACACTGTCTCAAAAAGACCGAAAAAAAAAAAAAAGAAAAGAAAAAGATTATTTTCCCAAAGCCAAACAAACTTTTATTATTAAGTGCAGTAGAAGTAAGATTGAGCCAGATCAGTATAATTTACAGAGTCCCTATGTTTAGCTAGTGTGTGCCACTGTTCTTGCAGGAAAGAAAGAAGGGCTTTGTGAATGTTTCAACATTTATGTTATTTTTAGACAGCAATAATTTCAAAATTGTGAATGATATTTCCTCTATATGTTTATAAATATGATTACTTTGGCTCAAGAAATTTGAAAGATAAACACAGGGGCTGGAAATGTAGCTCAGTGATAGAGTGCTTGTCTAGCATGGTCAAGGCCCTAACTTCCATAGCTCATGGTCTTGCCCTGTGTTAGAGCAGGTCCATTCAAGTCCTCACCAGTGCACATTTAGTCATGATTTAGCCCTAGTCCTATATTTTTCAAGTCTGTGCTTTTCATATATTTATAGGAAACTTGGTTATTCAACAGTCTGGTATTTGGATGCTGAAATAAAAATGATAAAGTAGTAATTATCTTCATGTGAAACTAATTATTTAATTTATATAATTTTGATTTTAAGTTTTAGCTCCCATGAAAGCAGTCCTCCCTCTGTCCCTTTCTTCCTCCTTCCCTCCCTCCGTCCCTTTCTTTTTTCTCTCATTTATTTTGAGATGGTCTTTCTATGTAGTGCTAGATAGCCTGAAACTTACTTTATAAACTAGGCTGGTCTCAAACTGATGCCAATCTTCCTGATTTAGCCTCTTGAGCCACCATGCCAAACTACTAATTTTCTTACTGAATAGAAAGATCTTATAAGTCTGGGGAAAATGTGTCTAATCTAATAACACAAAGATGAACAAAGAGAGCTGAGGAGGTGTCTTAGTAAAGTGCTTGTTGCATAAGCATGAGGACTTCAGTTTGGATCCCCATCACTTACATAAATGTGGACATGGCACTGGTGTGTGTCTAAAACCTCAGCCTTAGGGGAGTGCAGAAATAGACATCCTAGGAGCTAATTTGGCCAACCAAATCCATGACCTCTAGGTTTGGTGAGAGATCCTGTCTTAAAAAATAAAGTGAAGTAGGAGAGATGGCTTAGCAGTTAATAGCACTGGCTGCACTTGCAGAGGACCTGGGTTCAGTTCCCAGCATCTACATGGTGGTTAGCTCCAGTTTCAGGAGATCTCATGCCCTCTTCTAGCCTCTGTGGGCATGTGTGACATGAGTGCCCTTACATACTTGCAGGAAAAACACATATGAATAAAATAAAAATAAAAAGTTTAAAAAAAATTAAATTTGGGGCTGGAGAGATGGTTCAGCTGCTCTTACAGACTTGGGTTTGGTTCTCAGCATCCACATGGTGCCTAACAACCAACCTTAACTCCAGTACCAGGGATCCAATGCCCCTCTTCTGACCTCTGCAGGCATCTTATGTCGTGGGTGCACTTAAATACATGCAAGCAAAAACACTCATACACATAAAAATAAATTTAAAAAGACACTCAACATCAACCTTTGGCTTCCACATGCACACCACACACATACATGCACACAACACACACATACACTGGTCAGAATCCCAGGCATTTTGCCAGGTAGTGTTTAGCTATAATCATGGTAATGGAGAGGTTGAGATGAGCTCCAGGCCAGTCTGAACTACCTAGACATAGGGAGACCTTGTATCAAGTTCAAAAAACATATCTGAATATACCCTAGGTTCCTACCTAAAACCTTTTCTTTTTTAATTTTTTATTGAGAATTTCATGATGCATATGTGTTTTGATCAAATCTATCCCCTTTCCACCCTTTCAGCTCCTTACTTTTCCTTCCAAAATTCATGTGTTCTCTCAGTTTTTAAAAAATCCACTGAGTCCACTTAGTGCTGCTTGTATGTGCATGGATGTAGGACTATCAACTGGAGCCTGGGTACGCTTTCAGGGACTGCATCCCTGAAGAAAACTAACTTGCCCTCCCCTAAAAGCCATCAGTTGCCAATAGCTTCTCGGCTAGGGGTGGAACTTCATGAGCCCCTCCCAGTCCATGCTGGGATTTTGGCTGCCTTGATGTTGTATAGGTCTTGTGCATGCAGTCACAGCTGCTTTGAGTTCATGTGTGTAACAACCTTATCATGTCCAATAAATAATATTCACTGTAGGCATCAACTCCTGTAGAGCCTTTTCTTTGTGGAACCACCAGAGGGTGCAGTATGAACATAAATCAAATATACCCTGAATTATAACTGTGAAGCATTACTTACTAAATGTTAGTAAATGTGAACTACATGGTATACTATTATTCAAAAACTGCTAAATAGAGAGCATTTGTGAGACAAGCAGTTCACAATATTTCTTTTGATTCTCACAGCTTTGATGTACAATCAGCCCCATTTTACAGTTGAGAAAACTGGTTTGGAGAGCTAAATCACTTACTCAGTATTATTGGGGAAGTAGGGCTGAATTCGAAACATGTCTAGTTAATCCAGAGTCCAAACTCCTTAACTACTATGCTGTTTGCCCTTCCCCAGATAGTCCCCAAATCTTCTTAAAGTTCTATATGTTTTAACTTATTTTTTAAAATTATTTTAAGATCAATGTAATGAGGACTGGGAATGTAGCTCAATTGGTAGAGTGCTTGCCTAGCATGCAGGAAATGGGTTTGATCCCCAGTACTGCATAAATTGGGCATAGTGGCACACACCTGTACTTGGCAGTGGGATCAGGAGTTAAAAGTAATTTTTGATCGTATAGCAAATTCCAGATCAGCCAAGACTATGTGAATGAGACCTCATCTCAAAATAAAAACCAAAAAACAACCAACCAACCAAAAAAGATCATGATGGTACATGCCTCTAATCCTAGCATTTGGGAGATAGAAGGCTGGAGGTTCCTAAATTGAAGGTCATCTTGAGCTACACAGCTAGTTTGAGGCCAGCCTGGGGTTTCATGAGACCCTAGCCAAAATGCCAAAAAATTTTAAATAAATGTAATTTGTGAAAATAAGAAATGTAGAAAAGAATAAAGAAAATTTAAGTTAGAAGCAATTCTGTATTCAACATTATGTGTCTCTCCTGTTTTATATAAATACATATGTTGCTAGAGTTGCAGTCATCTTGAAGTCTGTCTCATGCTTGTATTTAATATTTTATCAACATAAGGTTAAGAAAAACCTTATTTAGTATTATAATTCAGGATTAAACTATTAGAACTCAAAGCTACAGATTCGAGAAAGAAGTGGATTAAAGATTCTAACCATACGGAAATGAGCTTTATTAAAAGAGAGTGCTGGGGGAGGGAGGCTATGGGAGGGTGCCATCTGGGAAGTGGGTATATAGTTGAGTAAGATGGTTTGGGATATTCTGTGTGATTATATATACACACATAAATCAACAAATTAAAAAAAATGAATCGTATTTGAGGAGGAAGCATAAAAATTTATGTCATGTTAATTAGTAGAGGTGATAATCATTACCATTGAAATCTACCTGATGACTTTATAGACATACACAGGTGTCAAGGATCCGAGTGTAACCGATTATGACTAGTAATAATCAGATACATACAGATGAGAGATGCATGCGCCAACATCTCAGTGTTATTAGCAAAAACAATGAGTCTTTCTACAAGGAACAATATATTCTACAATGAAATGGAGATCTTTTTTAAAGGTTAAAAACTCATT